CTGTCTTCTCACATCATCCGTGCTTGATGTTTTCCTTTCTTCCACTTTATGGCGTGATATGTGTAATTTCTCCACTAGATCTGTAATGTTTGGGGTACTATTTTTAGTTTGTTGGTTTCTAGGTGGTGTGGCACCCTGTGGTGGTCTCATGTTTGAGTGCTAAGGTTGTTGGCTTTCTGGCCATAATAAATGATAGTATTGTTCGTAATGCTGGCTTTGTTTTTACAAATTCTCTAAATATATCCTTGTTTGAGAAAACTTTTATTTCTCCTTCAAATTTTATGGTAAGCTTTCCCAGATAAGGATTCTTGGATTGCAGTTGTTCTTTCAAATTTCAGAATATGTTGCTCCAATTTATTTCCTGCACGGTCTCTCCGGAGAAGTCTGATCTTATTCTTATCTGTTTACCTTTATATGTGACTGCTTTTTTTCTCTCTAGCTGCTCTCATGATTTTCTCCTTTTCTTTGAATTTGGTTAATTTGACTAATTATATATATATATATATATCTTGTGTTTTGTTTTGTTTTGGGGGGAGGGTAATCTATTCTGTCTTCCCTCTGCTACATGGATAGCTATCGACTCCTTCTTTGCGATACTGAGGAAAATTTCTTCCTACAGTTCCCTTACTATTTTAACTGTAGACTTCTTTATTTCTTCCTGCTCAAGCACTCCAAGACTTCAAATATTATTTCACTTTATGGTATCCCACATCACCCTCAGGCCTTCTTCAGATTCTTTTGCTTTGTTTGTTTGTTTGCTTCTCTGGTTTGCTGAATTCTACTTTATTGTTCTGGATTCAATTTTCCGTTTCTTTCACTCTATTGGTCATATGTTGTACTTTGTTTTTGTTTTTTTCTGCTACATTATTCCATAGTTCCTGAATTTCTTTTGGTGTGAAGTTTCTAGTAGCTCCATATTTTTCATCTAGTTAAGGGTTGATCCTGTAAGGCTCTACACATCATTTTATTATATTATCCATCTGGAATTTCAAAGGCTTCTTCTTCTGTGTATTGCATTATATTTGAGTAATAGACAGTTGTTCACTATTGTTTCTCTTGATTTTTTTGTCATAGCTGCTGATGGCTTTTGTTTGCGCCGAATAGTGGTTGAGCTATAGATGAGGCATAGGCTTCTGAGCTGTGGAAGGTGGGAAGGATTTGGCTCTTTAGGTTAGAGGAGGATGAGTTGCAGCTGGAAGTCTTATTATGTGGAGATGAGGATGGAGTGATAGTTGGGTGAGTAGGAGGAAAAGGATATAGGTGCTCGGGAGTAGGTTTTAAATGGATATCTTCCTGTTAAGTATAGTACTTTTTGATGAGTTAGAGAAGAGGGCTTTAGGAAATGTGTTGTTAATTGGTAGGTTATAAGAGAGTGTGTGTTAGTTATGTAGAGGAAGCGAGGTCTTGAGGTAATGGTGGTTGGGGTAGGTGAGGGGTATATTAAGAAATCTATTAAAAATGGAGAGTGTAGCCCATCTATTACTGTGCTCTTAACAGAAGGCCCTTTTATTGTAGGTTTCTGCACAACTCAGTATTATCCACCCTTTGTGGTCTCAGGGAGGACATAGGCTAATGGAGTGGGGGCCCAAGGTGGGGGTAGATGGGGACTTCCAATCAGTAGGCAGTCCTGCTAAGGACATAAGGGAGTTCTAGGCAAAGCACTATTTCAGCAGCATCTTCCCAGGACTCTCATTCATTTCTTTTCCGTCATTTTCCTTTTTATCCCTTGGTGTTATACTCTTCACTTGCTTGTTTCTACTGTCATTTAAATCTGACACCGCTTTCTATGTTTCCTTGTTTCTTGTTTCTCTTTCTTAATGTTCATCCATTTTTATCCACGTCTTTGCACTTAAAGCTAATCATGTAGGCATCTGTTTCAAAGAAGTTTATTTTCCATTAAACCACATCTCATATTTTTTCAAAATTGCAGGTAAATCTCTGTTATGAAGCCTCTATCATGTTTTTATGAAAGTGATATCTAAAATAAAATTCTGCTTTTGAAGTTTCCAGACATTGTTTCTCTTACCTTATGCTATGTAGAAGCCTTTGAATTTATGTTTTCCTGTTTCAACAACTACTTTTTGACAATAAACAGAGAAAATAGAGTTTACCTTGGCTCCCGTATTTGACATTTTAATTTTAATAGCTCTCTGTTCACAGAGGTAAACTCAAGGTCAGCAGCCTTTAATTTTGTCCTGGTCTGATGAACTGAGGATGTATCTTGTCTTTCTTAGACGGTTCACTGACTTAGGAAGAGCCTATTGTGTTTAAAGATCTTATTCAAACAATGAAAAAGCACACTCCTATGCATGCACTGCTGCCAGAACTTCTGACATGATTGCTAGAAATAGCACAATATAATATGCTTCTACCTTTTCCCCTGTGTTTTTGAATTTCAACTGTAATGTCTACATGAATGAAGAAAGAGAAGTGTTCAGTTGATGGGAAGCCTAGTAGTAATGAAATATCCTGTGTGTGTTGCCTAGAAAATACTGCTTATTTTCTGGTGACCAGAGTTTCTACATCATGGAATCAGACAAACTTGTAGAATTGAGTTGCCATCCTTTCTTATCTTGTTTCTCTCTTTCAGAGGGCCTGGCATATGGTGTGGGTCTTTTACATTAAACAGAATTTCATTGAGACATGGAGCATAGAATCTTCCTCATCTTGACTTCATAATGCTAGCCCCAATATTTTAAGTATCTACATAGATATATGCATTGCAATTTAGCAGAAAATATATCAGACATATTTAATAAACCAAGTATAATTATTTTCTGTCTGACCCAAACAAAAAAAAAATTCATTGCCACCAAGTTAACGCCAACTCATAGCGATGGGGTAGCATTCCCTTTTGGGTTTTGATGACTTTAAATTTTCACAGAAGTATAAAATCTCATTTACATTAATATTATATCTCTAGGAATTCAATACCTAAACATCCCACTCACTTAATTCATTTTAAAATATAACATGAGCTTCAGAAGAGTCTAGTGCTTTTATGTATACCTCAGCTACCACAAATTACCAGTTAATAATATAATTCAATAGAAAATATTTTAATGATCAAAGGAATTGTTGCATTTAGAACACCAATGGCTTTCCTGTATTTGACTCATCATTTGGGACCATATTAATGGGCAGAAATAGAAATTTGTGATAATGCTAAAACTTATCATTAATTATTTCATGGCATCAGAAAAAGGAAACATCTCAATACCCAGGGTTTTCACAAATTAGTTATTAAAGATATTCTAATATAACACCTTCCAACTATCTGGTGTGCCTCAACTTTTTAATTACTGTTACAGATAAAATGAAAGCAATGATGTACTTCCTGTGGAGGGAGGAGGAATAGAATTAAGAATTGAGTTAAGAAAATAATATCATACCCAAAGCCATATTTCATTGCTTTGGGTATGATATGATTTGGGAATTGACAAGATGACAATATATTGGGAATTCACATAGTAAAGAAATGGTACTTCAATGATCAAAACAGAAGAGCATCACCACTCTTTTCTACTAATCTTTAGATTAAAGTGTATTTTTTCATACAGTTTCAATGAGATCGTAAACCCACAACAAAACACTTATCAAGGTAATGTTTCCTGTTTACAACTTTTCAAAGAATATCGATGTAAGTGGAGTAATTTCTACTTCAAATCACTGTTTTCATGACTTCATTTTAGAGTCCTTGTGGGAAGAAAACGAGGCAAAATATCAGGCTAAGAATGGAGAATTAGAATAAAGAGAAGAAAGAAAAGAATAGGCTGGCCATTGAAAGGAGTAAAGTTGAGGAATTGAGAATTATATTGTGAAATGAAGTCCCTTGGTGATGTAGCAGTTAAGAGCGCAAATATGAGTCAAAAAGTAGGCAATTAGAACCCGCCCAGTGGATCCAAGGAGAAAGAGCTGGCGATCTGCTATCATAAAAATTATAGGATAGAAATACTATGGGGCAGTTCTGTTCTGTCACACGGTGTCACGATGAGTTGGCATCAATTCTCCAGCATACAGCATCACAACACTTATGAAACAGTCAGTGGCTAATTGTGGCATTCTGAAGATTGTTTACATCATAAACAAGGAGGCATCAAAAAGTTCATGGGAAGATGAAGTTAAAAGATAGGGAATTTTTTCACGTGCTATTTAAAGCCCCATCACCTGTATATTGAATTAAGAGAAAGGGACGAGTCTCGAGACAAATTGGACAACCGTGCTAGACGCTTGCATAGCCAGTCCTTAGGAGAGCAGGAAGCAGTGCCCTGCTGCACTGACAGAGCACAGCAGCAGCATCTTTCCATAGATGAAAATGGAGAACATTGACTTCACGTATTCCAAGACGCTTTAAGTTCTAGGATCTGCGTCAAAAAACACCCTCCTGAATGTGTTCTCTCTAGGATTAGCATACTAATGATCAGAAAGTTCTCCTTTTGTACATTAGTGTGCTCTTCACTTTCTTCCAGAAGTATTATATGGAGGCTTTGAAGTTTAGTCATAATATTAAGCATAATAACTAAAATATTGGAAGAAATTAGGAAGCATATTCCACTATATAAGATAAATCTTTATCCAACTAATTATGGGATGGGGGGAAATTGTTAAAAAGAAGAAAAAAATATTTAAACCATCCCAACTAGAATCACCATAAAGGATGTCCCATGCATGCATTTCCTTTGTTTTCTGTTCTAAAAATAAGAATCCGTTCCCATGGATTCTGTTCTAACTCATGACAGTCTCAAGCATGAGAGAGTAGAAGTATGTTCCATATTATTTTCAGCGGCTGGTTTGGGGGAAGTACAGCTCCATCCCTTTCTTTCAAGGTGGTGCTGGGTGCACTTGAAAACCCGCCTTTTTAGCAGACTAAGATGTTGACGATTTGAAATATTCAAGAACTATTCTAGCAATGGCTCATGATGCAATCTTTTCCCTGTATTTTCTCTTGAGAACTGCTCAAATCAGTTATCTTGACACTGCACTACATTTATTGTCAACAGCTCTCCAAGACCTACAAGGCAATGTTGAATATTATACACTTTTTTGGAATTCTGCTTCCTCAAATGAATCTCTCAAAATCCTCCAACATGCAAACTCCCATGTCATTGGCCACTTAAGTCCAAACACAAAGTATTGGATATTTATCTCAGCCTTCAATGGAGTCCACAGCATCCACAGTGAAGTCCAGCACGCAACCACTTGTGATGGAGGTGAGTCCAGATTTTACCGGATGGACAACTTCAAAGATGCTAATGAAATTGGTTAATTCTTGTCAGTTTGAGATCAGTTATCCTCCATTATAAAATATCCAGTGTTGGGGACAAAGGGGCTGGGCTAAAATGCTTAAGTGCTCACCATCATCAAGTGGCAGATCAATACATGGTCCCATGGAGACTGAAGCAAAAGGCACTATTAAGGGAAGATTAACCCAGTTTGTTCCTATTCTTTTCCTTGTATGCTTAGTTTGGAGCAGAGTTCACATCAATAAATGGTGGCATTTAGAAACATTATTTTTTTTCTTCTTAAGATTAGCTCTCTGAAACAGTACGCTTTTCAAAATGACAGCCAAGCACAGTGAAGGCCCTCCCTGACTCACCAGAAATCATAGGTGGAAGTTCAGCCACTGAGAAAAATTTCCTGTGACTCATTTCAAAGCCAGTTAGCAAGGGGGAGGAAGCAAGAGCAGCAACTTGTGAATCTGAAATGTGTTTGGAATGGTCTTTCTAATCTTTTTGGCTTTATAAAGTCTCATTATAAACATTATAATATCATTACCTCCGGAGCAAGTGTTCCAGGTCATTAGCGGAGCACTTTAACTGTGGAACCCATTTCCCTTTGTGGTGCCAAAGGTCGGCACCTTTTGTTTATGGAATAGAATGGAATACAAGGACAATTTTTCAACTAGTTAAGATGGGTCCTTATGACAAAAATAGGTTTTTGCATAGTTATTTCTGACATGCTTGAATAATTGTGTAATTTAACGCTATGCAAGGGTTTTTTTACTCTATTGTTAGATTTCATCATTACCTATGGTAATCAACATTCAAAATCATTTACATAATGACAATATTGCATTATTGCTTCATATTGCTTGAGTTACAAGCTAGTAACATCAAATGATTTTTCACGTTCCACCAGTCTCAATATAGTTGAGCTTTACATTTTGCTTAAGGAGCAATTTCTTTTCTTTTTTTTCTTTCCTGGGCGGTATGGGGTGAAGGGACAGAGGAGGGAAATAATAGATCAGTGCTGGTGATGGGTGAATAATTTATCATCGTATCCCACTGATCACATAGTGCTGAAGATTAGCACTATGCTGGTGGTATAAAGCATTTTATCACCAATTCTTATGGTTTCTAACTGAGAGTATAATAAGCCAATTTGCAGAGGACGGCAGACTGTGATAACTTCATCAGAGGGAAACAGATAAGCAGCGAGCCCTTTGCTAAGCCCAAACACAGATCTGCCTTGAGTTTAACAAGTGCTTTTTCAGGGACAGCTGGAGTTTATTCAGTTTCTTCCTTTAATTCTAGAGCCTCAGGGCCTGCTTCCTCCCGAGGTTGTCACCATCAACAGTACAGCTGTGCACGTCATCTGGACATCTCCTTCAAATCCAAATGGTGTTGTCACCAACTATTCCATCTATGTAAATAATAAGCTCTACAAGACTGGCATGAATGTGGCCGGGTCGTTCGTTCTGAGAAACCTGTCACCCTTCACTATCTATGGCATTCAGGTTAGGAGATTGTTTTGTTTCACTTTGTTTTTTAATGGTTGATCTTACGGGTGTGTTGAATAAAATAAGCTGGGCGGATTCTCTAAGTGGAGGCTTCTCTCTTGGTTACATATTATTTATTCGGTGGGAAAAAGAAAAGAGGACAGGAAAATTGACCAGGACTAAGTCTGCTTGCTGTGGGTAAACATGTGGGTCTCTGGAGAGACAATATTGATAATAAAGAGAATGATGATGTTGAAGATGGTAATGCTACCGGAACAGGCGAAATGTAGCAGATTACATATTGGAGATAAATGTTGCCAGCAGTGTGCCTTTTTTCTCAGTTCTTTTACTGTTTTTAAGTCGGAATCAGTTTAGGCATACAGAGGCATTCTTTCACTCCCCTGGTCTGCTACTTAACTAAGTTAACAAGTTCAAAGCAGTTAACATCACCTTAGCTTAAATTTTTCTCTTTTGTAAGGACAGTGGACCAGGTAACAAAACACTACAACCCCACTAATGTTCTGTGACTCTAAATTCAACAAAAACATATCATCTCCAACTGACAGGCTACTATTAGCAGGTTTCACCCACAGATAAAAACTAACATATCCTTTATGAGTGTTTTCCCGTCGAGTCTTATGGGGTGCTACACTCTGTCTCCCAAGTCTATTTTTGGTGTTCCCCGGGGGTTTCATCACTTTGCTCCCCCTGCTCCTCTGCTGCATGCCCTCAGTGCCTGGTCCCAGTGTGAGGGGGCCAGACCGTGCCCTATTCGTGCACTGTGTCTCCAGTGTTGTCCCCTGCAGTGTCATGGTTCATTGAGGGATGGGGCCAGCCCTACTGTCTTCCCTGTGCGTTGTCTGCTCAGAGCAGGAGCATCATCCTTGGGGCTTGGTGGGCCAGGATGTCCTCTCCTCCCTCTCCATCCCTTTGCATTTCTCCCTTGTGCTCTAATCCGACACACTCCTCTCCCCAAGCTGTAGCCCCAGTGCTGTCCTCTGAAGTGCATTCTTCCGGGTGGGGGCTGGAGGTGGGGGTTGGGGGCGGGGGGCAAGATGTCCACATAGTCGGGATTGGGGCCTGCCTGCAGGCTTCTCTGTTGGTTCCCTGCTACATGTCAGTATGTTGTATTCACGTCTTGGTGCATTGGGTTAAAGCCGGTCTCTCTCCCCTTCTCCTGTGGAGACATAAACTGCCCTCCCCTGGGGTGGATTAGTGCCCTGTTCCTTCCCTACCCATGTCTTTTTTTCCTTCTTCTTTCCCCCTCTTATTTAGTTGGCTGCCGTATGTATCCCTGGATTGGGTTTGGCCCCTGCCATAGTTGCTGGACATCACCCCAGGGATGTATATATAAAGTAGCTTTACCCCTATGTCCCGTTTTTGTTTTGTTTTGTTTTTAAGCTTACCTCAGTGGACCAAAAAACAGACCCTGAACTATTTATAAGCTTTTCCATTTTTGTCAGTGGCTTTCTTTTTGTTGTTGTTATTTTGATCTTGCTTTCTGCTGTTGTTATTGTTTGATTGGTTTTGACTTCCTTTGTTGTTTTATTTGGCTTTGCCTGGTTTTTGCACTTATTAATGTATCTGCATGCTATCTAGATAAGATAGGTGGGATAAATAATTCAGAGATGAAAAGAATGGGACCAAATGGGTCTGGGCCGGGGAGGATACAGAAGGAGGGGAGGTGGGAGAAAGGAAAGGGCGAGGAGGAACCAACCCAGGGACAAGAGAACAAAAAGTGAACTAAAATCAATGGAAGGAAGGTCGTAGGATGCCTGGAGCTCAATCAAGGATAATGTAGCAGCGAGGAATTACTAAACCCGATGAAGGCCAAACATGATGGTGGGACAAGAGGGAAGTAAAAAGGAAATCGAGGAAAGAACCAGGAGGTAAAGGACATTTATAGAGGCCTAAATATAGACATGTACACATTGTAAATATACATATAATGAGAGGAGAATAGAACTATGTACTCATATCTAGATGTTAAGAATTAAGGTTGCAGATGGACATTGGTCCTCACCTCAAGTACTCTCTTAACACAAGAACACTTTGTTCTAACAATCCAGCATTCTGTGATGCTCACCTTCCCAACATGATCACTGAAGACAAAATGGGTGCCTAAGCAATTGTGGTGAAGAAAGCTAATGGTACCCGCCTATCAAAAGATATAGCATCTGGGATCTTAAAGGCTTGAAGATAAACAAATGACCATCTAGCTCAGAAGCAACAAAGCCCACATGGAAGAAGAATACTAGCCTGTGTGATGATAAGGTGTTGATGGGATCAGGTATCAGGCATCTAAGACTCAGAATAAAACCATACCCAAGGTGAATGGGGTGGGGGACATGGAGTGGAGACCCAATGCCCATCTGTAGACAATTGGAAATCCCCTCACAGAGGGGTCACAGGGAAGAGATGAGCCAGTCAGGGTGCAATATAGCACCAATGAAACACACAACTTTCCTGTAGCTCTTTGGTGCTTCCTTCACCCCACTATTATGACCTCAATTCTGCCTTACAAATTGGATTAGACCAGAGCTTGCAGATAAGAGTCTGCTACAGATAACAGGCCAAAATACAAGGAGCCCAGGATAGATAAACCCCTCAGGATGAACAAGGAGGGTAGAGATACCAGGAGGATTAGGGGAGAATGGGGGCAAAAGAGGGAATCCATCTCAAGGATCAATCCAGAACCCCCTCTCAGGGGATGAGTAATGGAAAAGTGGATGAAAGGCGATAGAGGAAGATGTAAGATATGGAAAAAAATAATGTATAACGTATCAAGAGTTTGTGAGGGAGGGCTGGCGGGGGAGGGAGAGGGAAGAAATGGGGAGCTGATATCAGGAGCTCAAGTGGAAAGAGAATGCTTTGAAAATGATGATGGTGGCATATGTGCAAATGTGCTTGACACATTGGAGGAATGTATGGATTGTGATAAGAGATCTAAGAGCCCCCAATAAAAGTATTTTTTTAAATGTAATATATCTACTCGTCCTTCAATGAATGTTCAATGACTCTCATCTGTGTAAGAGTAGCTGTACTTGAACATCTTTTTGCCCCAGCACCTCTTTTAAGAATCTGCAGTCAATATGCCCTGCACTGGAAAATGTTTAATGCAATAATATGATAAAATTTAATATACAACAATTGGAGGACCACCTCATAGACTTCTTCAGGATCCATTGATCTTAAAAGTAGAAAAAATTATAATAAGGCATATTTTAAAAGAAATATATATTCAAGGAATTTGAAATTTTGTGAGTGCCAAGAAAGATAAAGATAAAGACTAATGTACAAATGAGTGATAAATAAAAATGAGTGATAAAAGGAGAGTTCTTTCAGATAAACCCCTCAGGACCAATATTGAGAGTAGCCATCCCAGGAGGGGAAGGGGGAGGTGGGGGGAGAAAAGGGGAACCAATCACAGTGATCTACCTACAACCCCCTCCTTGGGGGGACCGACAACAGAAAAGTGGGCAAAGGAAGATATCCGGCAGTGTAAGACATGAAAAAATAATAGTAATTTATAAATTATCAAGGGTTCATGAGGGAGAGAGGGTAGAAGAGGGAGGGGGGGAAATAAGGAGCTGTACTACTAGTAAAATTTTATACATAATTTCTTTTGTGGAAGGTTTTATAAGTAAGGTTCAGGATGTTAAAGCACAGGAATTTTAACCAGTCGCATCATTTTTTCACCGGCTTTGTTTATTTAGTAATGCTACTCTTTTGTTTTCCCAGCATCTTGTTTCTTCCTATTTGAAGGTGAAGGGCACTTAATAGTTTGACTGCAGTGAATCCTTTAACCTCCTCCAATATTACCCATAGTGCATCCCAAGAAAACGGAATAAAAAAATCTGTGCCGGAACAATAAAACACATTTATTAGTTTCTCTCACATTAACCTCTGTGAGCTATCTTAGCATGTAATATGGGTAAGAGTGACTTATACGAAATTCATATCACTTTATTAGCACGCAAAACACCAGCTAGGAATGAATTCACTGAGGCATGTCTAGCTGGTTTCCTGGCCATGGAGCAAGATGTGACAAGTGAAAGTGTTTCAGACCTGTGCTAGTGCAAGAGGCTGCATTCGTGCGTATTGGTTTGAATCAGTTGTAACGTTTTATCAGATTTGGGACATAGAAACAGCCGAGAAGACAAGAGACCAAATTTAAATTCAATATATAAATTCTGCTGTTTGTGACTAAACTCTTGCTATTCCTGGCAATTATGCTAGTTTGAACCTCTCCACCCTATAGGAATACCACACTCGAAATTAGTGTTGGATGTGTGGAAATTTTAGTATCAAATTTCAGTGATTTTCATTATGACGCCAAAACAACTTGACATCATTTATAATATGTGACATCAATATAATATGAAATGCCTAAAATTTTAGAAGTAAGGTTCTCTATTTTAACTCCTTCCATAAAAGAGCTATGAATTTTATTTTTTATTTTTAAAATAATTTCTTGGCATGTAATTCATGTACCATACAATTCAATGGTTTAAACATATTATGAAGGGTTTTATAATCATCACCACAATTATTTTAGAACATTTTATTCATTCTTATACTCATTGCTATTAACTCTCCATTACTGCCTGAATGGGCAAAACACCGAGTAACTATTAATCTAGTTAATGTTGCTATAGACTAATCTATCCTGGATTTCATAGGAAGAAAATTATACCAAAAAAAACCCTCAACAATGACAAAAATAAAACAAAACCCAGAAAAACCTCAATTCAAGAGAAAGAAGATAATAGAAACTAGACAAATTAAAAATTAGTCAAAAGGGGATAAAATGATTATATTTTTTATTTTAACCTAACTGCATCTGCAGTAATCCATTTCCCAATGCACACTGCTGAGGATAAGACAATTCACAACCCTGGTCAAGGATCCCAGAGATTTCAAGGGAGGGGATCTGCGTGGGGATTCTGCAAATGGATTTTGCACTTTGACTCTTATTCAGCACCTCCTGCAAACCAGATGCTCAGAATTTAAGCTGTAATTCAATTCCTTTCTCTGATCTTGGATTTTAGTACTGACAATCCTGGTATGATCCTTCTTTGTGAACTTAGCTGACACCTCACTAAGATAGCTGCTTGTTTTAAGACAAGACTGTAAGAGTCCAGAGTCTAGTCTTTCTGGTAGCTAGACACCACCTGCTTTCTTAACCATGCTTTGCTTAGCTATTGATTTTAAAGCAGACCCATAGATGAACTCAAATATATATATTCAAAGTAATTCCCTTTATATATTTGTTTGTAGAGAGAGTAACAGTTTAAAAGTTGGTTCAATTTTATTTTTATTTAATGTGAATTGATAAGACCTCATATCTGTGTTTCATGTTAATGTGCCTCATTAACATGCTATGCAAAATAACTAGAGCACCAGAATTGTTCCAAAGATGGAATCTTGGGACACTACGATATTAAGAATGACAAAAATGCTGACACACTTCTCTGAAATAAAATAAGAGCTTTCAGAAGATACATGAAAATGTACTTAGAGCATTTCAAACTTAAAGACATACATCATATTTCAATGATAAAGCAACAGGGTCTATACTCATTGCTATCCAGTGAATTCTGACTCAGGGTGACCTATGAAACAGGGTCAAACTGCCCCTGTGTGTTTCCAAGACTGCACCTCTTTCTGGAAGTAGAAAGCCTTATCTTTTCCCCACCAGAGGACATGTAACCCTCAAATTAGTTATCTTAAATATCACAAACTTGATCATATTTCCTGATTTTCTGAGCTCCAATTTGCAAATGTATTAAGATAGAGATATAAGGACTGTCAATCATGTAATTTGTATAAGCACTAACCATAGCATTGGACATATATTTGACACGATACACTCATTATGCATTATATCTACAAAATTTCCAGTATGTATGTTTTATTGTCCTTCATTGTACTAAAGTGACTATATTTTATGCTCATCTACTTTTAAGTTAGTTGGACATACTCAAGAGTATAGAATATCAATAGTATTTAAATATCTACTAAGTATTGCCTCAAAGTATTCTATGGTGTATATAAATGATGCACTTAAAAACATTATAAAAATACACGCATCAACTCCCATCTAGATGCAAACTGCTCTGTGAATAAAATGTCACGTCTCTAAATGAAAATAATAAGAATTGCATTTGTCTCTCCTTAAATGCCGATGAAGCAACAGCACAGCTTCATGGCGCAGTGTTAGTCCCCATGAGTCTCTGTATTCAGCTTCCCGCCTCAGTGTGTGTAGGAAGTGCTGAGCGTAAACGAGCCCCGGAAAAAGCACAGTCCCTCCACTGTGGGGCTGTTCCACGAGCGATCTTTCATCCATTCCTTTCTGTCCCCTTCGCTCTGGCTGAGTGTCCCTTTTGTGTTACCAGTGTTTGATGAACCCATTTCTAGTCTTTAGTTATTCCACCTTAGTTTTTATTCGGGTTAGGGGGCAGAATTAAAGGAGTGAATGATTATTTTCTACTGGGATTAAGGTGACGATACAATTGGAGCTGGAACAAATGGATATAACATAGCTCAGCCATGTTGGAAGGCTTCTCCAAGCCTCATTTTTCTTCCATTAGACATTAGCATTTAGGTTATCTGTTGTAGGTGTCAAGAATTCCAGAAGACATCATCATTACACTACCTGGTTATGGATCTGGAGAACGGTAGGCAGCGATAACCTATTCCACTTGCTAATGTCACCAAAGTCTCTTCCATACCTTGACTGTGTTCGGAATAGACTGATAAACGTGCCTCCTTCGCGTGGTTGGGACCAGAGACCAAGCCTCACGGTTTTGGTCACTAAAATAGTTGTCCTGAGTCCAGTTCTGCTCTCCACTCCGAGCGTGTCTCACTGGCGTTAAGTTACGTTAAATATGGATATTTATTATAGAGCACTAGAAGATGGTCATGGGAGGGGAGAGTGGGTGAGATCCAGCCCGGGGTCAGTCTGCATGTTGAAAATTATGTTCTAAACAATGCTTTCAGGTTGAAGTGTGCACAAAGTATGCTTGTGTGAAAAGCAGTGAGACTCAAATCACCACTGTGGAAGACACCCCAGCGGATATACCAACTCCCACAGTTCATGGCATCACTTCAAGGTACACATGTATTTCCTTTCATTTAGAGAACTGTGATCATAAGCAATTGAAATAAAATCCAACGGTAGCCTCCCAGTCATGACAATCTCATCTAATAGGTTGCTTTAAATATGTGTGTACATAGAATTTTTGATATTACTGCGCAGGTGCTGATCTTCATTGGCCAGATTCCCTGAACATTTAAGCTTTGATTTCCCTGATTGCCCAGCCTTACTTCCCATTACTTAGTAATCTATGAACAAATACTTCAATGAACTAAAGAGGCTTTTTTATTTAAATGTGTCCTTCAGTGAAACCCTTTGTGAGGCAAAGAACACAATTTTAATGAGAACGACTACCTTCTAACTTCATCTCTGTGAGGAAAATATTAGATTTACATATATCAGCTTGCCCACGGCTAGAAAACCTGTAAAATAAATAGGGGCAATCATCTTCGAATCAGCATTATCTATTTTGTCAGAGTCTTCGTAGAATTAGTTTATTTTTCTATATTCTTTTGTTGTTGAAGAATCATTTTATTTTTCCGTGTTCTTTTGTTGCTGAGAAAGGACCATAATTTGAAAATGAGTGTCCTTGCAGTTGCAACTTAGTGATGATAATCATAAGAAGATTTAATGTCATGTGTCCTAAGCTAAAACACTCTCATAACTGTTCATTTCTCAACATCAAGTTGAGGCCGGAGAAAAAACCCACAGGGTTCCACACCACACTTTTGCCTTTGCAAAGGGAATCACCCTTCTCATGCACACACATACACGTATTTACTAAAAATGAGAAACTGTTTCCATTCTTAAGAATGTATCTACAGCCTCCTGAAATGTTGAGGTCTTTTTCTCTTAATTAGCTCAACAATTTCTATACTGATCTTAAAGACTGTTAATTAAAATAGGTAGAAACAATCAAGTAACTAGCTTCTTATTTTATGACATAAAACTCTATCTTCTCTTTTTGAATACATCTTTTATTCACCAGGTTATAAGACCTTATCTAATGTTTGATGATCTACATAATTGATAATTCCTTCAGTGGTCCATCATCATCATCTATCCATAAGATTACTTGATATGCAAGGGGAACTAGTTAAGTTCCATGGGTGCCAGCGACTTGTATTTATTCTTCAGCAAAGACATTTTTTGACTGTAATAATATATAAGGCAAACGTGACTCAGAGAAATATAAAACATGGTTCCTAACTTTGCAAAGTTCCAATCAACTATGGGAGACACTATCCTAAACAAATAATTAGAGAATGATGTGACAAAATGTAAGGGGTTCGTATTTCAAAAATGTCATAAAAATGAAATTAAACGATAATGGAATTTTTTCATGAACTTTTGGGAACCTCCCTCATAATATATTAGCTGTTTTTAATATGCAAGAAGAACATAGAAAAATGCTAAAGTCACCAGGATTATCTCCGAATGTTTTATAGAAGATGTGGCATTTGAGTTCGGTCTCAAAGAATTTAAGAACAATTACATTTGGGTCAGTAGATATTGGCCAAGTCCTGGTGGCACAGTTGTGAAAGCATTCAACTGCTATTCAAAAGGTCAGCAGTTCAAACCCACCCGAAATATATAGCATTCTGTGGCTATCAAGCCTCAGCCTTGGAGACCCTGGAAGGAGGTCTACCCTTTCCTAGACCGTAAATGTGAGTCACTATTGACTCAAGGGCAGTGGGTTTTGGGTGCTGAGTTTCCAAATTGTCCGATTTCTTGTCTGTTGGCAACTTCATGACTCAAGTCCAAATGAGGACATAAAAGAGTACAGACTAAAAGGCATAGCGGCCATGCCTGGCCTCCATGGCCTCCACGGGAGGAGAATCCGGCTCCACATTAGGCCCCAGTTGATTTCTATGGGCCAGAGATCAGTCATGCCTCCACACTCCAGCTTCTTTTACCTGCTTCTGACACAAAGCTTCTTTCCCAAGCCACTTTACTTTTCTAGTGGGTTCAATAATCCATTGTGACATCCGCACAGAGAATACACAAAATGGAGTTATTAGGGAAGCAAATACCAAACCAAAAAACCAAACCAACCAAAACTCACTGCCATAGAGTGGAATCGGCTACATGACAATGCTATGGCTTTCTGAGACTGTAAATCTTTACAGTAGTACAAGGTCTCATCTTTCTATTGTGGAATAGCTGTGGTTTACAATGTGCTGCTTCAAACTGCTGACCTTGCAGTTTGCAGCCCACCATGCCACCAGGCACCTATTAGGGATGCTCCTGCCACTGAGTCAATGCCAACTGGTAGTGACCCTACATGACAGAGTAGAACTGCTCCTGTGGGTTTCCAACACTAGCTTTCTCCCTGAGAATAGCTGGTGGTTTCAAACTCTTGACCTTGCAGTTAGCAGTTCAACCTGTAACCCACTATGCCACCAGAATGAAAAATATTAAGGATATAGTCATTTTGTCCGTGGCATCTCTTCTTAGCAGTGCCAGCAGGCACCTTTCTCTCTGGTCCTTGGTCTCTGAGCCACTGGTCTCCTAGGTCTCTACACTCTTTAGACAAACATTACAGAGCTACTTCCGGTGCTGACAAAAAAAGCCCCAAGGGCATGTCACCCTGCAGCCAGGTTCCTGCTGGAGGCAAGCAGCTTTATTCATTTGTGAGCTGAAAAGATGCTGCTCGCTCTTCTCTGCTCTTCCCTTCCCTTCCTCTCTCTCTCTCTCTCTCTCTCTCTCTTTTTGTTCTGGGTGCCACCGCCTCCACTGGTGCTGCCTCTCCTAATGGTGGAAAAGTGGTGTGTGGCTCAGGACTCTTCTTTCTCTATGATCGTGAGATCCCCTGGTTCCTGCTTTTGAAGTGCCTTGCTTTACACACAACAGAATGGCCAAACTGGCCAGTTCCCACACAAGAGTCCCATACACCTTATTTGCATGCTCTGTGCCAAACATTTGATGGAAGTAACAAAAACAATGGATGGAAGAGCTATAACAATTCAATTCTGCCACAAAGATAGCACTCAATTCCAGATCACATCAGTCATACAAATATCCCCACAATAAAGTGAATGGCACAATTTTTGTTAGTTTTCCAATGCTTATAAAAGTTATTTTTACACTATACCAGTCTGCTAAGTGTGCAATACCATTATGAAAAAGTTTAGCATTTTATAAGAATTGCCAAAACATGAGACAGAGAAACAAAGTGAATTATTAGAAAAATGGTGCCCATACACTTGTTCGACTAAGTACAACATTCAAATTATAAAAAGCATAGTCTCTTTGTCATGCCATAAAGCGAAGTAACATGCGTCATGCGTTATGCCATGTACCTGAGAATAATGGTGGGACCCCAGGTGGCATTGTGGAGTACGCACTGGGCTGCTCACTACCAGGTCAATGATTCAAAACTACCAGCCTCTCCTCTAGTAAGAGATGAGGCCTTCTGCATCCTAGATGTACAGCCTCAAAATCCCACATGAGCTGTTCTATGAGATCACTATGTGTTGGAAGTCGACTCAATAGGCAGTGAAGAATAATCCTCAAGCTTTATAAGGAATTAAGCAAATGTCTGTAAGTGCCATTGTCCCTAGAATATCTTTTCCTCCAAGAAGACTGTAACAGAGAGATGATAACAGGAAAACTCTTTTTTCAGTTCTGGTTAAAGTTGCTTATAAGCATATAAAAGTTATGGCAAAAATATTTTTAAACTATTGAGAACAAGAGGAAGGAAAATACGAGCAGTGGCAACAACAGAAGAGAAATTTCAACAGGTTTGCAAACCATAGTTGGCATAAGAGGCAACTGACTGACTTAGAAGTGGAGAAATGTATAGGCAGAGGTAGATAATGACTTGAATCGAGCCAAATTTCCCTGAGAAGATGGAGAGAGGCTGAGTCCTAAGTACCGGGAAGCATTGTGGAAATCAGAGAGAGAAGTCCAGGCTCTCAACTGAAATCAGAGGATCCATGGGGAGTCTACAAATTAAGAGGTGGAAACTCATTGTTTGACAGTGTGCACCCAGTAATTTGTTTTTCAGCTTCCACAAGGCCAGCTCCACTCGCCAGGGCATCTGAAGTTTAGTCTCTTGAAAACTGTGAACCAGTCATTTAGGCAGTTGAATGAGAAGGCACATTAGACAGCTGGGATGAGAAACAGAGGGAAGAACAGTGAGAAAGTTAAAACTATAACAGAGGGTGGAAGCCTCCACTGTTTTTCTGAGTTCTGCTCTCATAAGTGAGTCTCCAGTTGAGACAGTTAGTTTATTTTGCCAACCTGGCCGATAAACACATGTGGGGTTCATTGAAGGGTGGAGGGATAAATAGCTCTGTGAGCTTCTTCTTTCCAGTTCTCCGGTCCTTTGCTCTCTGACGGTTGGACCAGGGTACAGCTGCCTTAGCCAGTTCCCTGCTTCAGCTGGCAAGGCTCACTACCTGCAAGACATCCCTGAGGAGAAGCCATGTGGATCTACCCCGATGCAGCCCTGGGTCATGGAGTACCCCTGTGCAGAGCTCTGCCAGCGCTGAGATGCCTACACATTCACTGACTCAGCTTTCTTCCTGCAGTTGGCATTATTGCATGTGTTTTGTGAGATGGAGGAGGACTTTGTGGATTGGTGTCAGACATATGGGCTAATGTTGGACTTGTGGGCTTGGGCAGCACTGAATTAGGTGGTTTTCTTCATGTGCACTTAACCTTTATATAAAACTCTCTCTTATACATGAGTTCCTGAGGATTTGTTTCTCTAAAGTACCCAGACTAACACACCAGGCAAGCAATTGGAGATTCTTCTCCAGAAAAACTTGAATGTCCCCAAATAAATACCTGCAGATATTAGCCTATGGAAACCGCTAAGGGAAAAGTAGCTTGCCATTAGGCCATCCCTGAGGAAGCACACTAATCACCATCTCCTAGCTACATTAAGCATCAAATGTGTCAATCTTTGGTGCATCAATCTAAAAGCTAACAAGGAGATTGCGATCAACTGAAGAAGAGTGATTCAATTGAGACAGATAAATACAAGGGGAGAGAGAAAAAAATCTCTTC